ACTGTCGCGTTGTCTTGCCATTTGATACTTTGTGTTCAGGTTATGTTCATGTTTTACTACGTCAAAGTATATTTAAACATTCTTCCACGTGCCCAGTATGTGGTTCAACATCGCACAGACGCTCTACATGTTTTGGAATGCTATTAACGATCCTCTTTTCGGATTTTTACAGGTATTGTAATGTTTCCTCTAAATCACTGTAGTGAGGTAGAAACACTCCTCACGATTTTTTATTTATTTTACGGATCACTCATAACACTGACTGAGAAATGGAATGGTGTGCCCTGATTCACTCGAGAAGACATTGAAGACTTGGAGAAAAATGCTAGACACTGGCCCAGTTCACATTCACATTTCAAGACTATTTGACAAAATTCGCGTAGTTACAAATTAAAGGGATTTTGGATAAAAAAGGCATCGAAAAAAGGCGCGCTGGATTATGTAGAGCTTCTTTGGCACTCATTAACACGTTGGAGCCCGCGCAGGTTTGGGAGTTGAGGCCGCGAGCGACCGTGGCACCTGCTCAGACGTCGCCGCTGCAGCCCACGTGTTGGCTGCATGGTTGCCAAAGGGTTTGCGAGTTTCATGAAACAGTTTGTTCTTCTTCGGGGAGCGCATCAAAAATGAATAGTTATGCACTCAAATTTGCAGAAAGAGGGTGATCTAATAACGTGGGAACATCAAGCTATTTGGTACGCGGCACAAAAAAAGCGACCCATTATTTTGCTTGGAGGACTTTCATCTGGTCTTCACTTACGTGATGTAATCAACTAATCATGAGTCATTGAAGAAGAATCGGTTCATTCGCTGTTTCTAAATAATTAAGGGACAGAAAACTTTTTTCCGACCCATCGCCTTTGCTGTTTTAATTGGCTTTTCATTTTCACTCGATTTTGAAAGCGTACAGAACAATTCGAAAAAGAGCAACAAAAAACCAACTGTTAGCTGTAGCCCACGTGTGGTCTGCATAGTTGCCAAAGCGTTAATACCGAGTTTAGGTGTTTTTCCCAAAGAGCTCGGGAGGTTAGTTGTCAGTGCTACTAATTAATCCATTAGTTGCTTTCAATAGCACGTCTTTTCTTGTTCGAAGACTATGATGCTTAATTAACTAACCCCATTCAGGATAAGCCAGGGTCATGGTTGAATTCGCGTACATGGGTCATTCGTACATTTGCTCCATTCATGGTCACTTCCTTCGTTTTCATGTGGGTGCCATGGTCTGAAGGATCTTCATTAGAGGGCATACATCTCATAGTGTCTCTTTTCTTGTATGATGCCTTTTACAGGTAATTTTCTTCAAAAAAAGTCATTCAGCCTACAAGTCAATCATTCACCCCCTTCTCACCATTCATTTTCTCTGTGTGCAATCGAACATTTCAGTGCTATCGGTGTGTCATGGAGTGCACTATTCGCGGATTCTACCCGAGAACCAAGGATGCGGGTTTCGGCGAATGAAATACAGCCAGATTAGCATTCTTGCTTCGGTTAACATCATTGCCATTACGGAAAAGCTGAGCCACAGCCTCGAGGTACGGTTCTTCGAAAAGTCACCTAATGTTTAATGAATATTAAATCCTTCAGATTTTCTGGGCTTTCCAACTAATAACCGTTGTCGTCGCATTCGTTGCTCTTTTCTGTTTTATGGTTGCGGGGTCGCTCAGACCAAGTCTTCCCTATAGCGTTGAGAAAGAAAGTCTGCTTGTGGACGGTGAAAATGTTGAGGTCGCAGGACAATCTGCTCCGAAAGGGTATGCTTCTAGGAGTATACATTTTTTCTACACCTTGTATTGGTTGTTATTGTTGCTAAATTTCATAAATCATTCTTTCTAGAAAGGAGGTTGGATCGATGTCGGTCGCAATGAAGGAGATTTTCTTTGAAAGAGATTTCATTGCCATTATCGCAACAAATTTCATTCATACTGCTAGGTAAGATATACAATTCCTCGTTTTGATTGATCTACCCTCAAATTGTCATCCCAAGAGGTATACTTTCCAAACTGCTCATTGCTATGTAGAACCTTGTAACACGAGTCATGCCAGAAATTTTTTTCGCGACGGGCGTGGCGTCGCGCGGTGAATTCGTGCTACATTCCCGTGTTATGGCGGTTTGAAAAGGGTAAAGGGTAGCTCAACACACCATGGGCCGTATTCAATCCTTCCCCAGGGGGATATATCCCCCTCCTCTGATTCAATCCTCTGGGGGGACAAAAAAGGGTTGCGTCATAGGACCTAGCATACCTCTGTGTTTCTACCTGCCAGACAGTTAGAGCAGCGCGACTACCCTCCACTGATGAAGCACTCTTTTCCCTGAGGGGTCGCGCTGCTCTAACTGTCTGGCAGGTAGAAACACAGAGGTATGCGAGGTCCTATGACGCAACCCTTTTTTGTCCCCCAGAGGATTGAATCAGAGGGGGACGCATCCCCTGGGGAAAGGATTGAATACGGCCCCATAACGACGCTCGCGTTTCTGGTCGCGTGGGATGAGCTGGATTTGCGAGTGCCGCGGTTTCACTTCACATTCACGGTTTTGGGTTTTGGAAAAGGCAAAACGTCAATGCGTCGAAATAATTTCACCTATATCCAATGCATAGA